CTATTATTCTCTTATTTATATTTCTCTAATTTCATTCATAGACTGTGTAAAATAAATGAATGCGTACACTTCTAGATATATTAAGAGGTAGATGTAGGGATGCATCGAGACCAAGCCCCTCTGTCTCGATCAGTCTCACTCTCAGCTAATCTTTGCCTTGGTATTGATGAGTTTTGGTCTCGACTATAATTAATCTCGATCGAAATGATTACCTTTTCAGTTTTTCGACTGAGACAACTCGGACCGAAAGTCTCGATTCAATCTCGGTACATCCCTAGGTAAGTGTTAATTCAAGAGCTTTTCTAGTCCCTAACAGGCACATCTTTATGGTCATTATCAGAACGCGTGTTTGTCGAAGTATCGTCACTAATGATGATTGTCGCTTTCTTTAGTGCAAAAGATTGAAGAACAGACTTATGTTTACTAAATAACAGAATATGTACTGTTCTTTTAATTGATCTATGGGGAGAGACTGGGTCTGAAATCAAGAAAAGCTATATAGATAATCGAATCACAGTAATTTTATATAGCGTTTTATTTATTTGAAAACTTTTTCTTCAACGTTAATCATTGAATTGTTAACAAATTATGGTGAAATCGCTTACTCTTATCAAAAAATATTTCTATGAATTTTACATCATCGACAAGAAAATGCATAAACTTCTTTCCATAAGATTTCCGCATGAACAACTACCTTATACAATAAGACAGGCCATTTTTTTTTCAGGCTTCCAACCAAGAAAATAAAGTATATGTCTTATTAATATCGTGTTCTTCGAAACCTAATCACATGTATAAAAACATTCAGCAGTAGGTGTCAGAAAGTATTTCATACTAATTTGAGAAATATAGAGACATTGTGATTGGATGCAACCAATGCTGAGAAATTGTGTACAAGCAGAGTATTGTTGGGTGAGATTCTGATCGAGAAAAGTGACTGTTTATTTATTTATGATGAGATCCATGTTAGTATAAATGATGTTATTGTTTGTTGTGGATACAGCGAAGAACTTTGATTGTTTGTTTTGTGTACCTGTCTGCAGGAGACCGTGGATGCATGGGTCTTCATGTAATAGTGATTTTTTCTTTTTTTTTGAGAAATTTCCAACAATTGAGTAATCGATCATAAAAGAAATAAAAAGTAGCTTCTATCTACCTTACTTATCAATCATTAACAAAAATATAACATTAGTAGAAATATCCTCCTAGACTTTGTATTATGCAATGCCGGTTCACGTATTTGCTGCTATTTCGTCTCAAAGAAAGAAGTTTTCGTAATATTCAGAACAGTGTGAAAAACAAACTCGAAGTCTTATATGCACGAGGTAGTTTCATCTCAGAATATATTATTCTCAGACTTATTGAGTCGCATTATGACAAATAGAGAAAAGAAATCTGCTTTGTAAGAAGGTCCACAGAACTAAAATTTGACATAGTTTACCAATCGTTGTTATAAATGCTTTATTTATTAATATCGAAAAATGACAGTGTCACTGATAAGATCAATTTTCATCGTGGAAGAGGAAACCAAATCTGTTCGATATTGTTACAACTATTTTCAATGCTATCGGCTTTTGTTATCGTTGGTTAGCAACGTATCATGGCTTTATGAGATAATATATTTTGCATCATTTCATTTCTTAAGATTTCTTTCGAAGTGTTACATGGTTTGTTATGTTACTGAATTACTGAAAATTTCTTTTTCTCAAATTTCTTCATAATACGTAGGGAGTTTGGCTGAGCACAATACAATCCAAAAATGATTTTCTAAAATAGATTGAATTCATTTACATCATCTCCTATATGACTAGTTACATGTTAAAAATCTATAAGATAGATTACTGTAATTACAGGAAATATTTGCTTGAACTAAACAAAAAAATAAATAAATAAAAGTAAACATGTGAATCAATCAAACTAATTAGTGCTTGTCACTGTAAACTAATAGTATACTTGATATATTTCATTGGACAAAGCTAATGAGAAAGTCATCGAGTATTTTTTTTTCTTGATCCTATCGTCACTGCTTTTAAAGAATGATGTAATGGTATGCTTTGTTTATTTGGCTAAATAAAATGTTTCTTTTTTTTTTGAAAAAAAATGACAACAAATAAAGATTAATTATTTTGTTCCTAAATAGTGAATACTTGATTGAAATAGTCACTCTTGTAGACTGGGCACTACTGTATTGATTCGTCTTCCTTCGACATTTCTAATAAATGTGATTGCAAAATGACGTCTTTGTTCCAATCGAAATCGACATAAGAATAAGTTCTTGACTCTGGTTTTCAGATCGGGTAAAGAAACTGCACTTGCAAATGGCAACAAAAATGTTGTGTAGTATGAAAAAAACTTCGCATAAGTTTGAAACGCAGCACCTAAATTTTCTGGTGCACCAATCTCCTGAGCGAATTCTATGATCATCTCCGGTATGTGCAGAGAAACATAAATAGCTGATATGGCCAATAACTGAATTGACATCTTTCGATATTTTTGCCATCGACTTCGTTGAGTTAAGCCACGTTTTCGAAGAACAACACGAAAAAATAAAGCCGTATTGAAGATAACCATCACTAATATGGGTAAAATGTCGTGTAATACGGCATCCCACAAAGCAATCAATTTCACATCGTAATAACATAGAGGGAAGTCACAAACAGGTAGATCGTATTCAAATATGTTTTCACACGGTGGAAATAAAATGGTAAAAGAATAGAACAATAGCATATAAATAACAAGTATGACTAATGGGCAACAATGAAAAAGAGCCCGCCTCTTCCACGTTGATAAGCATTGATGATGAAAGATCAGAATATATCTTTCGACTGAAGCCCAAGCAATGATACCCAATGAAACAGAGAAAAGACCTTCGTCAATGAATAACCAGAAAAGACATATACTTGGCGTACTTGGTAAAACATTGCCCACATAATGAAAGTAGCTAAGATATAATGGAATACCAGTTAACTCGTAGATGATATTGATAACCAAAAGTACAATAATCGTCTGATTACTACGAGTACGTCGCAGACCTCGATCGAAGAGCAAATGGCATAGGACGAAAAGATAACAAGCAATGGATAATATTACAGATATCAGAAAAAGCCAAAAGCGTACAGCAAATGGAATGGCAATATCTAAATGTTGATCGTTCGATGATGTTTGATTGTCGATTTCCTCATTTGAATCCATATTTACCATTCTTTCACAAGTAAACTTAACCAAATAGATCAATACGTAGATAAATAACTAAAAGTATTTCATATATCCTATGGAGGCCAATTGAATTTTCCTCTTCGTTTTCTTTTGTTTTAATTACTATATTTTTTTTATTTTTGAACCTACTATATTAAGAAAGAAAGCCTAGAACGCACTGCATCTTTGGATATATTCACGGTGAATATCAAATGCAGTGTAAAGAATAAAAATTGTATGAGAAAAAAAGTAACATTTTTTTTTATTTCAATGTCCAGTGGGAATTAAACGAACTTCATTTGTTGTTACTTTTATGACATTAAATATTAATTTGAGTAGCTCTGATGACTGACAGCTTATATTTGGACAGTGCTTGTTTTATAAAAATGTTCGAATTAACACGTCGACTAAAATTAAGATTTCTTTCGCTTATGTAAAGTATGAGGCTATCCAGTTGCAACTAATATCATATCGTCGAACATCTCATGCTGACCGGCACTTGATAATATCAATTATATTTTTTGTTCTGTTTTTTTTCGCTTCGATGTGTTTGTCATACATGTACATGTTGTAGTCAAAATTAAAACTGCTTTTTGTTAATGAAAAGAAAAAAGTCAAATTTCGATAAGGGTGTGAGCGTGAATGTAAGCGGGTGTAGCAGAAGTTCAAGTTTAAAATAAATTTAGCGGAAGACAAATATAATTTATTTTTAAATTTAAGTTATGAAAACAATAGTCTAAATTTATTTTAAATTTAAATTACCGATAACTTAATTTACGCATTAATTAAATTGAAAGTAAATATAAATCGATATTCCTACAAGGCCCCTGTTGCATCTTTAACTTTTTGTCTTACGTTACCTTTTCTTTTCACCAAGAAAATTTTAATTTTGACCACAACATACACATACCTGTATATTGCGACTAAATACAAATAAATATACAAAATCAATCCTTAATTCGTTATGTTTTAAACTGTTCGTTACTGGCATGTTGATTTTAACTTCTGTTGTGCATATTTATTATGACTCCTAAATATGATCAATACACAAATCATTTCAAGTTCAACATGCTTCAATAATATTTGTCGTGGAATTTTCGAACATGGATTCAAAGTATTAGCTAAACGTTCTAAGATCAAAGGTGGTCATTAACTTACGTAATCTAGATGTGTATGTATATTGGAATAAAAAATGTGACTTTTTTCTCATGCAATTTTTATCCTTTAAGCTGCATTTGATGTTCAACGTAGATATACCAAAAAGTTCAACGTTCTCGGGGCCTTCTCTCTAATGTATAGTAGGTTCAAAAATAAAAAGAAATATAGTAATAAAACAAAAAAAAAGGCGAAGGGAATTCAATTGGCCCGCATAGTATATGTAGTGAAACAATCCTAATCANCATGACGTATATCATTTGTATTTTCGTTAATATCATCAACTACTAACACATTGTTATCAATAGTATCAAATTGGTGTTCATTGAGAACAGTATTTCTTCTTTTATGAATTCGAGAGCTCATACTCGAACTCACTTTAACAAAAGAAGTAAAAGAAGACAAAAAGGCCTTTATTCGCCTCTTCCCTTGTTACAGAGAAGAAACAAACAAACAAACAAACAAAAGATAGTAAGAGTGAAAGAATGAAAGGAAGGCGTCCAATCACTACGTACACAGCGAGAGAAGTGATCACTCAGAAATGTTTCCTCGTAAGTAGCAAGAACAGAAAAAAGAAAAATTTAATCATGTAAAGATTTTTTTTTTGGTTCGGTCGATAACTATGGTGATTTAATAAACTTCTGTTTCAGATGTTTGATCGTCCAGACTTAAAATCAAATAGCCTTCCATACTTTATCTCATCTAATCCTTCTTCTTCAAAACATGTACTCGGTATCCGTCGTGAAGATCAATCCCCATGGGAACGCCGTGCTCCGTTAGCACCTGAACATGTTCGGACACTCGTAAAAAATCATAATATAAAAGTTCTTATTCAACCATCCAATCGTCGTGCTTTTCCAATATCATCATATGTTGATGCAGGTGCTATTGTTCAAGAAGATTTAAATGAAGCATCAGCTATAATTGGTGTTAAACAAGTTTCTGTTGATTCATTATTACCAAATAAAATTTATGCCATGTTTTCACATACACATAAAGCACAGATAGATAATATGCCATTATTAGATGCGTGCTTAGAAAAAAACATAACATTAATTGATTATGAAAAATTTGTTGATGAAAAATATGTTCGTTTAGTTGCATTTGGAAAATATGCTGGAATTGTTGGAATGATTAATATCTTGCATGGACTTGGTTTAAGATTTCTTGCACTTGGTCATCATACACCATTTATGGTAAATATGAATAGAAGAAATAGGTTTTTTTGTTTCATCGAAATAAAATTTTATTTTATGTTTAGCAAATTGCCCTTGCACATAATTATCGAAATAGTGAACACGCTCGAATGGCTATTCGAGACGCTGGACAAGAAATTGCTCGAGGTCTTATGCCAAAATCTATTGGACCAATAATTATTGTTTTTACTGGAGCAGGAAATGTTTCTCAAGTAAAGAAAAACCTTTCAAATATAAAATGGTGGAAAAAAATTTAATAACAATGGATTTTTTATTTTTTGCTGCAATGTTAAGTACCTAGCTCAAATTCAGGCAGAGATTTTAATAATCAATCGAGATTTCTATCGAATGCATTCTATACTAGATGAACTATGATGGTAAAGTTTCTACCGAAAAAAAAGAATACGAGAGTTTTCAAATCACAGAAGACTTAATCGGAGCTAGTTTTTAGCATTGCCATTTTAAAGAGTACAAAATTCTGCATGATATCAGGGTTCGCTGCATTTTCTACGACCCTCTCTAAAAAAAATAAAAACCATACAAAAAACCAAAAAAAGGTATTTTTTAGTCGATTTTGGTGAGACTTAACTTGCTAAGACAAGATTGTAGAAAATGCGGCGCCCCCTCATTTTGTTCAGAATTTTGTGATCCTTAAAAGGACCCTCTCTTTCCGAGATTTCTGAAGAACCACTCATCAGAAATATTTAAAACTTTCAAGGTGAATAGCTCTCGATGAGTAGAGCTAAAGTTGTCATAGACTTCAAATTCTCAAATATTTCCTTCTAGAAAATATTTGAATCTCAAAGGTTAAAAATTGCCCTGCTCTCCAGACACAATACGTCCGATAGAGCTAGAAACTTTCTTTTGCAGATACTAGATACTGTTCGGAGTTAGAGCTCATTGGGTTCAAGGATTTTTGAACCTGGCACCAGAATTTTAGGCATGGGGGGGGGGGGGACTGCGCTCTCCCTCAACGAAAAAAATACGCCTTTCAAAAATCTCGTTACTTTTGAATCTTTGAGCCCCCTGGCGAGAAAAATATTTGTTTCAAAAATCTTTCTAGAGACTCAAAGGTCCGTAGGAGGGGCTCAGCCCCTCCTAGCACCTTTCCTGGCTCCGCTACCGCCCAGGATCCGGCGCGATGAATCAAAATTTTGGATTCGAACCTCATTGATTAATCTTTTGTGAGAAGAGCTCATCAGATCCAACAATTTTTGGATCGGGATCCGGTCGACTCAAAATTTCTAGACTCGGACTCAATCCGAACCTGATGGGCTCTATTTGGGATGCGTATTCCTTTTTTTGGTTTCTTTTTATCTCCTTCCATTCGAATAAGAAGATCAAAATATTGAGTATACCTTCAAAAACACATGTTATTTTTTTATAAAATCTGTTAAAAGTCAATGGTGAAATATTTTTCAAAAACAAAATTAGGCAGTTGAAACAGTGTCCAGTACCTGTAAAAGAAAAGTTTCAACTCGATTGAACATAGTAATTATGTCTGAGAAACAAAGCGATTCTGTACTTTTTTTCGTTTAAAAATTGATTTTGCGAAAGAGGAAAAATAAATTTTTGCTGTATGTATCAGGATTTTTTTCTTCAACTAAAGCGATCGAAAATTGGCTCCATTGAGCAGTGTTAGAGGTCCATGACCTATGCTCCCAGTACTTTTGAAATGACAAATAATCATTATCATTAGAAGATTTTACATAGAAAGAATAGCCGCAGCGCAAGTTTTTCTGCTAGAGGTTTCGAGAGTTGAGTTTAATAAAAATACTAACTAACAACGGAAAACTCTCACTAATACGGCATTTGACAGAGGACGCTTCGAAGTTATATTAGCGATTAAAAATAAAAAACAAATTGGTTTTAACATCAGGAAAGGAGATCCCCTTAAAATAGCATTGTTAAAAACGACATGACTACGGAATGTTTCTAAGCACCGAACAGCTCATGAGTTAGAATTGTGTGCACCACATAGGTTCTCGCTAGCTATGCATACTCTGAAAACAGGTCCGGTCAATAGCTTACAACTGCCGAGATTCTGTACTTTTTAGCAGGATGTTATACTCCCTTCAGGAAAACTGGGTTTCGAATTTTGCCTTGAAAATTTGCATAGAGACAGATCTTAATGACAATAGCTTATTGTAAAAGTTGCAGATCTTTAGCTGCTTCTATCCTAAAATATGGTTATCGTAACAGCATATTTTTTACGCCGTTTATATACAACGGCAAAGTGCGATATTCTCATTTCGTTCTCTCGTTAGACAAAGTCTTCTCAGATTTGAAAACTACCGTGTTCGGTTTTTATAGAAACCTCCATTAGCTATTAAAATCATTATCTGGATTTGAGCTATTTGTTTAAAATGATAGAACGAAAATCAAAAATACATTCGTGTTAAACTTTCTTCCATCATCGTAGATTTGTTTATCTAATTTAGGGTGCTCAAGAAGTTTTTCGTGAATTACCAATTGAATATGTCGATGTAAAAGCTCTTCCAGAAGTTGTTCAACATGGTGGTAAATAGATTTTTTTATAATATCAATAACAAACTAATTCGTTTATTCTTTCATAAAGCAGCTAATAAAGTATATGGATGTGTTATTCTACGTGAAGATCATTTAATTAATAAAGAAACAGGAAAATATGATGAAGAAGAATATTTAAAACATCCTGAAAGATATACATCAACATTTAGTACAAAAGTTAGTTATTTGAATAAACACTTGAACTTAAAATTTTTCTTTCTACGTAGTAAATAGAAGTTTTATTCAGAACATTATATCTAAGGATAAAAAGAATATGTACATCATTAAAAAAAGTTGTTAGCGCAATCCTTACGGGATTGAAATGTGAAACACGATATAGCTGTTGTTACTAGTCACACGAATATGGTTTTCTTCGATATACCTTGGGACCTATTTGTTCATCATTTTGTGCTTAATCCTTTGGAACTGTAATAATGAAGCAGTTGATATATTTTTATGATATTCTAGCGGTATATGATCGCTAATCGTGTATTAAAAGATCTGCCACGGTCTGTGATAATCTTTGGAACCCATATGTCACGGTTCGTTATGAGTACATAGTGGGTAGCTTTCGCATAAGCAGGCGGGCATGCGATGTTTTTGCTTAGAGATAGCTTTAATTTGACTAGAAATGACATTATGCCACTAAGAAAATCGTTTTTAAGAAAATAAAAGGTTTTTTTAAAGACAATTTTTTCAAAAAAATATGGGTCAGGAGACCCTTAGCCTTTTTTCTTCGAAAAATGTTTTTGAAAAATACGTTGAGCTACATGTCATTCGATGTAGTTTGATGCGCTGATTTCGAATACCACCTTAGTTTTTCTTCAAAGTGTAATATGAATGCCTAAAACTGCATTTCCGACCAGAAACTTCGGGTTTTTGGACATTCTGTAAAATAGACTAGGAAAGGTTTCCTGAGTTTTCGCTACTACCATAAGTAGAACACGTTCATACAAGCACTTGGTAAAAATTTGAGCTCGATCAGACTTTATTTCTTTGTAGCGTTTACAATATACGAAGCTCTCTGTTTTCAGATAGGTTTTGGGGCTCGCGATCGTTTGTCTTTTACTATATTTTTAACTGGATTACGATAATTTTTTGTACCATAAAGTCCATAGGTGAGCAAGTTTTTTGCGATATCGTTTGCTTCTGGAATATTGTGTTATATTGCCGAGCGGCTTGACGTTCTTCATTTATGCCGATTTCTGGACCCAAGCCTTGTCAGACTCTTTTCTAGAGCTCTATAAAACTTTGAGAACCGCTATCTAACGAAACGATAGATCACATATGTGTGTATCTACGCAAACGGTTAGATTGTGAAAAAGAATATTTTCGCATGTCCGCCTGGCTGCCCACTGTGGGGTATGGGGTGTCTTTGTCACAATCTGTGATGATCCTTGGAGGTCCTCTAGCGCAATATGTGATGATCTCTGGAGGGTGTGGGTGTGATTCATGTGAATAACTGTACCCACACCCGCGGGATAGGTCCAAATTTCTACTCTATACACTTCAACACTCCTTTCAGATCGTGTTTCACAAAATGTGCTGCTAAATATGCGTATAATTTGCGTCTTACTTGTTTATTTATTTTATGTTAATTCAATTTTGATCCCATAAATTTCTATAGATTGCTCCATATGCAACATGTATCATCAATGGAATTTATTGGGAACCATCTCATCCAAAATTACTTCATGTTGCTGATGCAAATCAATTAGTAACTCCACCTCCAGAATGGACACAAAATAATCCAAAATTTGGTTGTCCATCATTACCTCATCGACTTCTAGCTATTTGTGATATAACAGCTGATAAAGGTGGTAGCATTGAAATAGTTCAAGATACAACAAGTATTGATCATCCATTTTTATTGTATAATCCTAAAACAGACACATCTGTAGAAAGGTAAATGAAAAAAATCATTCAAATAGAGTAGAAAAACAAAAAAAATTCTTTTAAATTAGTTTTCTTGGCCCTGGTATATTAATTTGTTCGATTGATAATATGCCAACACAATTACCATTAGAAGCAACTTCTTTTTTTGGTTCAAAATTACTTCCATTAATACCACAAATGCTTCAATTAGATGTCGAAAAAGATTTTCAAACACAAACTAGTGTACCTCGTGTTGTTCGAGATGTAAGTTAATTTTTAGAATTTGCATATAAAAGAAAAATTCTCAAGAAACGAAATTCACGTATATGACAAAAAAAAGGAACGACTATCCCATAGAAAGTCATCATTTAGTAAAACGAACGCTGATTTTGTTTATTCTACGAAATCATTAGGATGAGAATGATTGTAAAAAGTTATGTATTTGTAACTCATTTATTCTGTGTTTGTCGAGATTAGAAATGTACAAATATTGCCATGGCTTCCAGATGTTGACATGAGTGAGTGGCTCAAGTTAACAGAAAGCAGACTAATAATGATGTGTCAGCTTACGAGGAAACCTCCTCAACTGCCTTCTTCCAATTTCAATGATTTTTTGCCGTTAGGTGCTACATAGTGTTTCAATGAAAACTCTAAAAGGCTTTGGGTTTCTATTGATATTTGAATACACTATCGAGTTTATAATATGTCTATTTTCTAGAGGACCCAGATTTCCTGGAAACTCGTATTGTTGACTTTTAATCTGGAACTTTGCATATATACAGAACTGAACTTGACTAGCTGCCATGAAAAAATGCACAAGTTTTGAATAAAGTCTCTTCAAGATATGAGACTTTCAAGATATAGACCTTTCTCCTTGGATAGTGTATACAACATGCATTTTTTGAATGGTTCATGTCTCGAAGAGATTTTCTTCAAAAACTGCGGAAGCTTTTTATGGAATCTACTCCAGTTGAGTTTTTTATATGTGCAAAGTTTCACATCTAAATTCGAAAGTACGAGTTTTCTGAAAACTCGGGATCTCTAGAAAAGAATTTGATAGCTTAGTCAAATATCAATAGGAACCCAAATCCTTATAGCATTTCTATTAGAACGCTGTGTAGTATTTAAAGGCAGAAGAATCATTAAAATCGGATGCGGCAACTGAAGAGGTTTCATCGTTAGCCTGTATTTGCCCAGCTTTGACGCCTATTTTGAAAAACTCGAGAAGTGAATAGTCAATTCAAGTTCTTCGAGAAATCTTAGGTCAAATTTGATCGAATTTAACTATTCTCTCGAAAGAGAGACCTTTCTTGTCCTCATCTTTAATTTATATCAATACCAAACGATATCGGTAGTGCTAGATTTCTAATCAGGATGATATCCTATATCAAAATACGAAAAAAAAATTTACGATCAATTCGAGTAACATTTCTTCATCATATGATCACATATATTTTCTGATGGCTTTATCTTTTGCTTACTGCCATCATGTATTCAGTTGCCTTAAGATTGAAAGACTTAAGATTGTTATATATCATTGTTTTCAATCGAGACTATATGAGCATTCATAAAGAGTCCTACTCATGAACTTTAATTAATATGATTTGATTTCTACAAAAAATGATTCTTTTTTATTGTATTTAGGCAGTTATAACAGCAAATGGTCAATTGACACCAAAATATGCTTATATATCAAAACTACGAGAACAGCAAAGGTACATAAAATAAAAACTGAAGTCTAATCTGACCATCTAAATATATTCTTATGATTTTCTTTTTTCAGATTAAAAGAAATGAAGGCATCAATTGGAAAACGTATACTTGTATTAGGTGCTGGTTTTGTTAGTGGTCCTGTTGTTGAATATTTAACACGTAATGAACAGGTTCACGTAACAGTTGTTAATTTAATTCAACAAGAAATGGATCGTCTTGTATCAACAAACTCTCGAATAACACCAATATTACTTGATGTAACATGTCATAAAAGTGAACTTGATAAATTAATAGAAGATCATGATTGTGTTGTTTCACTTTTACCATCTAAACTTCATCCTGATATTGCTTCACTATGTATAAAACATCGTCGTCATATGGTAACAGCAAGTTGTGTATCACCAGAAATGCAAGCTTTACATGATGAGTATGTAAAAAAAAATTAACCTCGATTTAATTAAAGTATTCTATTTTAGAGCACTCACAGCTGACGTAACCTTAATAAATGAAGTTGGGTTAGATCCGGGTATTGATCATATGCTTGCTATGGAATTATTTGACATGATTCGTGATAATGGTGGTCGTATAGATTCCTATGTATCATATTGTGGTGGTTTACCAGCTCCGGAACATTCTGATAATCCTTTAAGATTCAAATTTTGGTTTAAAGAAATCAGTATTTTGATTTTATAAAAGTTATTTTTTTTTCTTTACATTCTAGTTGGTCACCTCGTAGTGTTCTTACAGATTTACTTAATCCAGCTAAATATTTAATGAAAAACAAAGTAAAGAAAATGAACATATGGGGCATTTCAGGCAAAATGAGACATATTCATCTTTCATTTGACTTTAATTCTTTAGGATGTGAATGTGGGTACCTTCACCAACACTTTCCTATCAAAGTTCTGAAAGAAAACGTTGATCTTACCATCATTTAGAGATTCTCACGAAGGCTTTGTACCTTTTTGAGCTTTTCATTCGGTTATAAAAGCATTTTTTCGTAGTTCGTCACAGCGCTAACGAAAATTAAATTCGATTTCTGAAAATTTAGGCATGCTGAGAAAAAACTTTGAATAGAGGTTTTTTAGCTTCAGGAGTTGTTTACAGAATGTACTGCAGTAAAACCTTCTATAGTGAACGCCTCCGTATAGTGAACACTTTCGAAAAGTCGCAATCGTGACCACAACAGGAAAACTTGACTATATTTTAACAACTGTTAATTTCCCAAGAAACAAAACGGATGGGAAGAGAAATAACAATGAGCAGTAACTAAGTATTTTATTCACTAATACCCTTTAAATATATGTAAAAAATTCATTTGTTTCTTGTAAAAAAATTTCATTTTTAGAAAAGACCTAACCTCCCTATAGCGGACACTTTTGAAAGGCCTGAAAAGTGTCCACTGTCGAGCAGTTATACTATATTTAGTTTTGCCTCAATTCCAAGTTTTTTAAAATTAAAATGTATGAAGCGAAAGTCAAATGTCCTTTTTAGTGTCACGTCGCTAACACTAACTTTTTTACTGATAACTTCATTGAACAAAGGTCTCTACCCATGCAGACACGAAAACGCTAAAACGGTGTTTTGACCCGTTTAAATAGAAAAACTCGAAAAAAACGCATTATAACTCATTCGCACCATGATTCAAAACATTTAACTCGTTANTTATGCTATCAGAAAGATTGACAAGTATTTATTGATATTCTTCATTGGCGAGTTTAACTGGGATAACGAGTATGCTGACAACAAAAATATCGTTGAACTGTGACCATTGTGAGCGTCGGCTCAATGAAAAAGATTGTGAGTTAATCTTTCTGAATCATCCAATTAGATCATAACAACAGATGATGTATTAAAATAACAGCATTTGGATTTTTCAGGGTGTGTATCAATATTTTTCGGCAATGGGCAATTGGTATCATTTTAAAAAAATTATGGGCCATTACTTTTAAATTGTTGGGCAATTGCCCATTGGCCCTACCCTTGGCTACGCCACTGAATAGGTCAATGACGACATTTAAACAAGATGGTGTTCATTTATATTTTTTATTGTTATTTACAAGATGATTTCTAGGAATGTATCAAATAGAATTTGCTACAAGTAAGACACGATGAAATATTAAATAAAAATTTTATATCATGAATCAATAGAATTTGAAAGATTAATATGTTTTCGTTTGACGTATAAAATCTAGAAGACGTTAGTAAAAAACAATGAGTTAGTTGGTATTCATTTTGAACTTTAAGTTTTATTTAGAAAATTTTGTGTACTTGAAGGATAATAATAAAATGTTTAGCACTTTACGACTTTCAAATTAAATAATATACAATTTGATGATTTCATTTAAGAATCTGTATTTCCCATAGAGAATTCGTAAAAATAAACGTCAATATTACAATGTTTTTCTATTACTGAATTACAAAAAAAATCTGGACTTTGTTCTCGGATTAAAAAATTTTTAAAGCTTATAATGCTCAGAGCAAAAGAAAATAAGTGCCATCCATTATAACTCTCTTCTTTTAATCAAGCAATAAAGGTGCCGCAATGTCAATGACCTACATTCTTGGTTAAGTATATATCTACAAATTATCAGACCTCCAGCGACACAAAGTGATCGAGATCGTCTAGGACAAAGACTTTTGTACACTATTCGTACATAAATAGTATAAATAGTCATAAACTTTATTGCTATTGGCAATTTTATAAACCAATAATATCGAAGAGTGTTGTGCATGGATAAATAGTGGAATGTCTTATCTATAATAGTACATATAGTAAATCTCTTTTGAACTTAGTACCAGTATTTTTTTCGATAAACTTTAATTCGAACTAAAAAAAAATTTTCAAAAGTGGATAATGAATACAATCGATATTATATAAAAATTCGAACTATTTTGGGGATAAATCCAAAGACGATTCACGAAGAACTTGCAACAGCTTTGGGATCCAAGGCTCCTTCATATCCAACAGTTGCAGAATGGGCAAAGCGTTTTCGTGAAGGAAGAGAAGGTGTCAATGATGATCCTCGATCTGGTCGTCCAGTATCCGAGCTGACAGATGAAAATATTGAACTAGTACGAGAGGTAATCAACAATGATCCACATTCAACTTATGATGATATTATAGCTGAGACATTTCTCTCTCATGGTACAATAGAACGAATTATCCACGATTGTCTTAAGATGAAAAAATTACATCACGTTGGGTACTCCATCAACTGACTGATGAACAAAAGCAAGAACGTGTTAAACTTTGTCGTGAAAATTTGGCGAAATTCCGTGATGGTTCTTGGCGATTATGTGATATTATAATAGGTGATGAGACGTGGATTTACTGTAGGCAGATTCATCGCAAGTCAACAAATGCAAGCTGGATTGGCGAAGATGAATCACCAACTACTATTGTTGTCGAGGTAAATTTGAACCAAAAAATGTATTTTCTATTTTCTTTAAATCAAATGGCCCTGTTATTATACATACTGTTGACGAAGGCAAGACTATAGATCACCACTATTATATTGAAAATTGCCTCAAGCCTGTCGTGAAGGAAATATGGAAACAAAGAAAGTCAGCAGATACAAAAGGTATAAAATTTCTCCAAGACAATGCTCGACCACATATTCATTCCGATGTTATTAATTATTTAACAGAAGAAGGTATTATTATAATGTTGCATCCACCATATTCACCTGACCTTGCACCATGTGATTATTGGCTAAATAATTACATCAAACGTAATTTAACTGATCAACCAGATGAAAAATTATTGGCTCGTGCGGTATCCAAGGTGATGAAAAAAATTCCGAAAGAAGAATTTAAAAAAACTTTTGACAAACTATTAGAAAGGATGGAACTTTGTATAAATAATCATGGTGACTATTTTGAACATTTAATAAAATAAAACTCGAACTTTCTCTTTATCTTTATATTTTTTTTTAATAATCTGTGAACTTTTGGTCAGACCTAAGTAGAGAACAAACCTAAATAAATAAATTCATGTTTCATTTTTCTTTTGAATGCTTCTATTTTACTTGATTATTATTATTTTTTATTTCATAATATGATTCCAATGCTTTAGCAAAAATAAGTTCATAAACTTGATCATGTGGATGTTCAGGTGNATAAAACAGATATCCATCGCAATATGCAAAAAATACTCATGAGGATACTGTGAAAACAAACGGTGTCTTTTGTGGGTGGAAATTTTATTTTTGTTTTGCTTATCCTAGGATTTCTCCTACGTACAGGTAAATGATAGCCATACAAAGATAAACAAATATCAATTGCAATATGCGCAACATAATGATGAAGATATTATGAAAAAATAGCCATGCTTTTTGTGGGTGGAAATTTTATTTTTGTTTTGCTTGTTCTCCCATTCGTCCTACGTAAAGGTAATTGATAGTCTTCCAAAGAGAAAACAAATGTTCATCACAAGGAAAATGAAATACGGGTCAGTTTATTCTCATAAGCTACGTTTGTGTTTTGCTTTGGTTGGAAATTTAACCGTTACTTTATTCAATATTTCAAGTCTTTCTTATGTGTGTTTATTTATTTATACTTAGGTCTGACCAAAAGTTCCCAGATTGCTATTGGCAATTTTATAAACCAATTAATATCGAAGAGTGTTGTGCATGGATAAATAGTGGAATGTCTTATCTATAATAGTGTATATAGTAAATCTCTTTTGGACTTAATTATAGTATTTTTTTCGATAAACTTTAATTCGAACTAAAAGGAAATTTTCAAAAATGGATAATGAATACAATCGATATTATATAAAAATTGGAACTATTTTGGGGATAAATCCAAAGACGATTCGTGAAGAACTTGCAACAGCTTTGGGATCCAAGGCTCCATCATATCCAACAGTTGCAGAATGGACAAAGCGTTTCCGTGAAGGAAGAGAAGATGTCAATGATGAGCCTCGATCTGGTCGTCCAGTATCCGAGCTGACAGATGAAAATATTGAACTAGTGCGAGAGGTTATCAACAATGATCCACATTCAACTTATGATGATATTATAGCTGAGACATTTCTCTCTTATGGTACAATAGAACGAATTATCCACGATTGTCTTAAGATGAAAAAAATTACATCACGTTGGGTATCCCATCAACTGACTGATTAACAAAAGCAAGAACGTGTTAAACTTTGTCGTGAAAATTTGGCGAAATTCCGTGATGGTTCTTGGCGATTATGTGATATTATAACAGGTGATGAGATGTGGATTTACCATAGGCAGATTCATCGCAAGTCAACAAATGCAAGCTGGGTTGGCGAAGATGAATCACCAACTATTATTGTTCGTCGAGGTAAATTTGAACAAAAAATTTATTTTCTATTTTCTTTAAATCAAATGGTCCTGTTCTTATACATGTTGTTGCCGAAGGCAAGACTATAGATCACAACTATTATATTGAAAATTGCCTCAAGCCTGTCGTGAAGGAAATATGGAAACAAAGAAAGTCAGCAGGTACAAAAGGTGTAAAATTGCTCCAAGACAATGCTCGACCCCATATTCATTCCGATGTTATTAATTATTTCACAGAAGAAGGTATTATTATAATGTCGCATCCACCATATTCATCTGACCTTGCACCATGTGATTATTGGCTAAATGATTACATCAAACGTAATTTAAATGATCAACCAGATGAAAAATCATTGGCTCGTGCGGTATCCAAGGTGATGAAAAAATTCCGAAAGAAGAATTTAGAAAAACTTTTGACAAACTATTAGAAAGGATGGAACTTTGTATAAATAATCATGGTGACTATTTTGAACATTTAATAAAATAAAACTCGAACTTTCTTTTTGTCTTTATATTTTTTTTAATAATCTGGGAACTTCTAGTCAGACCTAAGTATTTTTGCATATCTTTATTGAAAAGTTAAAATGACATAAAAGCCGTGGATTTCAAGTTGTTCTAATATTTATATTATAATTGTTTGAATAAAATAATGAAGTGACCTTTCAACAATTGAAGTTGCGTTCTTCGGATCTTGTATATGGATGTATAGATATTTCTATTTAAAGTTCTTCTCCTTTTCTTTTTTTGATATTAGTCATATAACAGTGGGACGCAAGATGGGGAAACTAGTAGGAGAGATGGACTAGTGATCTTCTTCCTCCGTCTTACTATCAGCAACTTGAATTCCCATAATGGATGAATTACTTTTCTAATTTATTTTTTTGCTTCTGTTTATTATTATAAATGTTTCATATACTAGATGGAACCTTTGTGCATTTATGTTATCATGACGATTTATCGACTTCTTAATTGTGGACACATATACGCTTTGATGCATCCTTTTTTCCGACGAATTTCATTGTCAATGACAAGTGCTTTATCCAAATCAAATGTGCATTGATATGTATTATCTGAATCCATGTAAATAAATAGGGGTAAAATCAGATTAAAATCATACACCATTTAATCGATTTTTAATCAAAAAGCTGTTAGCGCAATCCCTTGCGGGATTAAAAATGTGAAACATGATGGACCTATTGCTACTAATTAAATGGAAATCCTTTTGCTCCATTTCATTACGACACATTTGTAGCTGACCGTATATCTGATACTTTACAACTGCACTTTCTCTGTCACGGTCTGTGATGGGTACCCGGGTTCTCTGTCACGGTCTGTGATGGGTACACGGGGTTCTCTGTCACGGTCTGTGATGGGTACCCGGGTTCTCTGTCACGGTCTGTGATGGGTATGGATTTTCTCTGTCACGGTCTGTGGGGGGGGGCGGGGAGGGAGGCAGTGGGTCCAAATTTCTACCCCTAAACACTTCAACACTCCTTTCAGATAGTGTTTCACAAAAAGAAAAGTAGGATTGTTATTCGCTGAAGCATCATTGATTTCTACTTGGCAAGGTTCATGGATATTATCATCGTTAATATTTCATTTCTTCTTTCACAAATGGATTTAAAATGATAGTTGCCTATTTGTTTTTTGAAGAAAGAATGTTTTCTTTACTTTGTGCTCGGTGTGAACCAATTCTATTATATATTTTTACCCTGAATACCAAATTCACCGTCTCTTTCACCTGCACACTGAACAACGCTTGCTAACGAATACAAATTTTATCGATATGTGAATGTACAGAATCAAGGCTTCTGCGACAAGTGAAACGTTAAATCCTGTGCAAAGCAATCAACTAAAAAAATTATAATAGAAAAATTGAAACAATATCGGATACAAGAGGCTGCGTCAAGTATGTAAGAAACACAAAGTCGGTTAAGAAAGTAGTGAAGTTGATTGTAAAACGTCTACTAGGGCTGAACTTAGAATCGTCTATGATGGATATTATTCAAACTGATGGAAACCTTAATTCAGTGCTCGTGAGGAGATACGGGGCCCTCTTCGTATAAGAAGAAAAGACCTTTATTATATTCTTTTTTCCTTTTTGTAAACTCTTTTGTATGTTTGTTCTTTGTATTATGTATCTTACTCTCCCTACACCGAAGATGTTTAGCGTCTATGAACATCGATAAAAAAAATATACTCACCCTGAGTATCACCTCCATCCAACTGTTCACCTTCACCCTTGCCTTCTCCTTCACCTTGGCCTTCACCTTGGTCTTCTCCTTCACCCTGGCCTTCTTCTTGATCATCCTGGTTTCCACTTTTATCCTGGTTTTCACCTTTATCCTGGTTTTCACCTTTACCCTGGCTTTCACCTTTATCTTGGCCTTTACTTTCACTTGTGGTTGCCTGATCACCGTCCTTCAATTCAACTCTTGAGTTAGAGTAGTAGCCGATTTCAATTTCTTCAGTGAACTCCAAGGAGTTATTCAAGCTTGCATCTGCCATGATCTGGGAAATGTCATACGACCAAAAGTGATGACCGTTGTGTTTTTTAACGTAGTTTACGGCTACGGATCCGGTCAGACTTGCGTTGTAGACGATTCGAACCTTCATGAAGCCTCTGCTTGCCGTGAGTTGAGCTACTACCGATTGGTTTGGTTCTAAGGGAACAGAGACACCTTGACGTGAACCGACCGTAACATCTTGCTTCTCGCTTCCGCCTTGACCCCAACTGTGGCTATAAGACATTGTTGTAGTTCCTTCGGCTCCCGTTCCTAAGAATTTGAGAGAGTATTTGAAACTCTGGGAAACATCAATGGTGTCTGTTTTAGACCACGTTGTCTCTGTGGTATTTTTTACGTCCTCACTTATGCTCGCGTCGAAAGTGGCACGATAGCGACTAGTGTTGATGAGGTCTTTCTTGGCAACAATTGTGGGCTTGCTGGTGACGTCAAGAATTTCACACTTGATGACTTTCAGAACGGTTTTCACCTCTTCCCAACCATAGCTTTTGTACAGGTCACCCCAGGGTGTGGGTCTATGGAGGTAAACATCACTTGGGCTTTTGTCGCTGTGTTTGCCCACAGCCTTTTTCAAGTTTTCGCCATGAAGGTCGAAGGCGGTCACCTCTTTGTCTGTGATAACATGTTCGACAGATCCACTTGCTTCGATCGAAGAAGACTTTCTGTCAAATCCAGCTTTCAGTTTTATATCAATACCAGACATTTGTTTCTACGTTTGGTGGCGTATCGCTGCGATAAAGAAAGACTGAAAGATATATTATTCAATATTTTTTTTGCTTTACAATTGCAAAGTAATACAAGAGTGTTGACCAACAGGAGAAGCTGCTAGTAATGGAGATGCTTTACTCTAGCAATTATCTTCCCTTTGAACCAAAAGTTACTTCAAAACACACATTCTCAATCAATCGACTTTTCCAATCAGATCAGACGGTTTGACAGTCTATTTTTATAATGATTTGATCATTCTAATGGTAGCCTTTGCTCACAGCAAATGGATTGTGATCAACTTTGCAGAGTTAAACGAGGAATTGTTTTCTGTCATACAGTGAAACGAAATAGACAACCTGAACTCTTGTCACCTTTGACCAGTCCCATCCTAAAGTTACATGGATTCTTTTTTCCATCTTCCAAATGTAATTTAGCATTTAAGAAAAGAAGCCGTTTTTCATTTGCTGTTCGTTGATACTCAGATCAACATACTCAAGATGATCAGACTACAAAAACGATGAATAGATTCCAGACGAAACAACGAGTGAACTCACATAATTTAAGGCGTCAGTTTCGATTGAAACACACTCGAAAAAATCATCAGTTATACATATCGAATAGTACAGCACTTGACCACTTTCATGCAAATGAATATTGATTCGATTCAAAATCAATGTTTCAATTCAAACGAAATGTGTGTGTGCATCAAGCAGTAAAGAGAAGGTGAATACTCCATTAAGAATTCCATGCCCTTAAGTTTGAAACAAAAAAATAGTTTACTGGAGCTGTTTTGTTTGAGCATAATTATAACCTTACTAACGTATTTTTCTTATTTTCTATCAAAGTGATGTTAGTTTGATATGAAAGTTCTCTTGATAGATAGAGGAACTGTTTCTGAACATCTCTAGCAATAAAGTTCAAAAAATAGTCTATGTTAAGATTTGTCATTAACTTTTATTGGTCATTCGTTACGAAAATTGAAATTGAGGGAGAACTAATTTTTCGACAACGGATTTCAATACTAGATAATTTCTGCGTTAAGGCCCCCCCTCACAATCGACTTGCCACTTTGGAGCATAGGTGAGGGCTGAAACTTTCAGGGGTCAATGGTCTTAGTGAGAAACTCTTGTGATAAAAATTTCAGCCTTGTATACCTTATTAAACTAGACTTAGGACTTGTTTTATAGCTTCCACGAGAATTACTATAACTTCATGACTATGAGAGCTATCGAGGTCGGATCGGTTTTAAATTAAAGCTAACCTCAATACGCAACTTTTTCGTCAGGCAGAATTTTGAAATTCCCTTCTGTTAATTTTTTATAAGCATTTTACTCAGTATGACTGCCAAAGTAGGTATAAAAAACGCACTAAATCGGACTTTTCTCAGTCCAGGAATCCAATATCGGAAATCCGTCTGATGAAGAGTTAGCTCTAATTAAGACCTTTAAAATAAAAAATAAAATATCGGGGAAAGCTAAAGCCAAACGGAAGTTATAGCAATTTTTCTACTTGAAAACCATGTTTTGAGAAAAACGCTAAAGAAGTTTTAGAAATGGACTTTTTCATTCAATTGCAGGAAATAATGGTATATTGATAATATATATGTGAAATTTTTGAAAGCGCGCAATGGATAGCACAAGCTAGCACTACAGGTCGTACTATATGATATAAGAATGTGTATTCCATGCTGATAGAAGTACAAAAGTAGTCTTCCCAAAAATAACAAAAACCGCGAAAATCTCTCCAAAAACCGGGTACTGAGGTGGAAATCTCCTACGAAAGTCTGTAAAAATTTGACCTTTTTTGTGTACTCAAAAAGTGAGTACACTCTAGAATCGGTCAGTGTGTCCGGCCGTCCGGCCGTCCGTCCGTATACACGATAACTTTCGAAAGGGGAGTCAGATCTTGATGAAATTTTCTACACAGTTCAGTCTCATCAATGTCTCAGTCGAGTTCGAAGATGAGAAGGATCCGTCAAGAANTACGCAAAGATATACGGATAACCTAAAGAAGAAGATCAGAGAGATTGACGACAGTTGTAGGTTATACAATGCACATTGATAATGACCTACTACATAACACTTATCAAAAAGTATTCCTCCTTTCTGTACGACAGACTCAGAGGATAATCAACAAAACGGAAATGTAGATATGTGAACAATAAAGGATGTCCATACATTATTGGCACACTCATGACATTCGTAAATATCATAGCTGGATATATGCCCTTATAGAAGATAAAAATGGTGATTATAGATTTGAAAAATTTTAACAAAACAATATACTTCACTAATGACTGTTTTCACATAGAATTGAGATACACTTGCTGGATAAAATATCTTTTTAGAGGCTTTTGAATCAATATGCCTATTAATTGAAGTCAATTTAATTGCTGGTACGTTAGTTGGATTTCCAGTTTTATTTAAAATTTTACCACAATATGGAATTTATGGTGATAAACATAATTGTATGAAAATGCATTTTCCCCTCCTTCGAACACAATTAAATGCAAATTCTGTTTCTCAAATCTCAAAAACCTTATTTTCTGAATGAGGTCGTCCCTTAAAGCCTCATAAGGTCTTAAGCTGATGTTTTTCGCCAGATTATACTTGTGTGGAACGAGAACAATTAACTGAACGAAAGTGTCTATCTGCCTTTCTATATTAATTTGTTATCAATGGATTATGAAAAATAAAAACTATATAATCATTTTAGACATAGAGTGATCTGAGTGAGAAAATTGCCAACCTCACTCTTTTCCTTTCTTACCTCTACTATTATACAGATAGGATTTTAATCGGTGTATTTTGGATAGATCGTTTGAAATTTATTCGTCTGAATAATTTCAGATCAATGGTGATTCGAATTATCAAAGCTTTGAGCAGTTTTATCTATGATCTTTGCAAACAGACATCAAATGATTTGAGCGTATGCTATTGTGCACCTGAACGAAAGATCGGATAGTAAAAAGATATTGAAAAACGTGAAGCATCGACAGATTTAAGATTGAGTTGAATTCGTTCTTTTACCGGCAACATTCTTTTAAAATTCCAAAAAGAGATTTAATATATTAGAAGGTCATCCACAATAGTTTTCAACATTTATTTCTTGTTTTTCATAAATCAGTCGATTGCGACGTTGAATATTTTCTATGCTCAGCATTGAAATTCTGCCTTCGATAAAAATGATTCCAAGTCAGATTTGTTTTTATCGAATTCTTACGGATATCTCTCAGTCATAATACAAGAATCTTTTCGTAGAAAGAATTAATTGACTCAAAATTTACGGCAAACAAAATACCTTTCGAAATTCTATTATTTAAATTACCAATGACATACTGAACATGTTCATCAAAATATTGGCCTGAGCATATAACACTTTCTTGTGTTAATTCTATGACATCGTAGAATGGGCAATATTAGTCATTTATGTCTCAAGTTTATTATTTAAAAAAAATGATTGTATTATTGATGCTAACTCATTCTTGTTTACATATTATTTAGCTCAAGTTATAAGTAATGGAATAAGTAAGATTTCTCTTTAACTAAAATTCTATTTGTTTCTTATAATCATCCTTCTTCTCTGTTCAGTTATCAGTGTTAATCCAACCAATCGAACTCTCCACGGTGAATATTTTTCACTAAATAATACATTTTTTAATATTTAATGATCCAAGTTGGCTAAGTGACTATGTTCGAACTGTGACAGTTCAATATGCTCAAGCAAGATTCCCTATTACATCGACTCGTACATGGATCTATGGTATTAGTCCAATTCCTGGTAGTTACATGGCTTGTAGCGAATACTTGATTCCAACTTCTTAAATCTCAACATCACAAGTAGTGCAAACTTACAATATTATTGATAATCCCATCAATGTTTCCGATGGTACACATGTCGGAGTCGGTATTCAAGATAGACTAACAATTGTTGCTACAACAACTGGCACTATGTATAGACAGTGCCAATTTAACACCAAATATTCCGATGCGTACACCATTGTATTTCCAACCTGAAAATTCAAGATTTGGTGTAAAACTTAGCTACACAATAGTTATTTAAGCACTTCTTTTCTATCGCAAACAATCAAACTACAATTTTATAAGCAAAATTATTTTATAACTACTTTTTCCAATAACTGCTTAATGACTTGATGCGTTGCATTTTTTTTATTGTAGCACATTAAATTTTATTTCATAAAATATTCTTTCAACAAAAATATACAATTCCATTTTGTTTTTGATCAATTCTTATGATGCAAGATTTCAAAGTATAAAGTGTTGATCAAGCTGATGTTTTGTTCATAAATAAGATGCGACGAAACTAGTAGAAACCAAAAAAGATTCGTGCTTATGCTCTATCTATATGGGACTACTATTCACTTTATTGAGTAGAGCATTTTAAAAAATCGTTTTACGAGCTGTTTATTTGAAATTTAACTCATAGATAAATATCGGGACTATTGGAATGTCCGAGAATTTTTAGCACAAAAGAGAACGTACATGTGCATATAATGCGTGAGTAAGTAGATGAGTAGTTCAATATGACGGCCTTCTTTTCACTCATTCCACACCCAGCAATGCATACCAATGAAAATTATCAGCATAATTAGCTATTCGAAGAAGACAAAGATTATTGTGTTATTTACTGAAATATCGAGCTTGTGACATAGTCAAGTGAGCTCACAATTCTCTTCGAATTTCATTCACAGTCTCGATGTCGATGCGGTCAAATTGGAATGTCGATAAATTATTTATAGTTGATCTCAAGTTTTCTCTTGTGATATTTTTTAATCTGCGGGTTTTCTTCTATCATATCAATAAATATCTGGGCAAATCCACAAAATATGTAAACAAACAAAGATCGGTCGAAAAATGATTGAAATCTATTAAACGTACTTCATGGGGAACGAGTCACTCTACGCAAAACCAATTCTTCTAGCTTATTCTATTGAGGAGTGATATATGTTTTACTGCAATCCTTGGAACCGATCAACTGACCACTAGTCAGTGTAAACTCTATTGAATTGTGTGTACTCGTCTAAATTGAATCCAATGATAACATTTGTTTTTGGTTTTGAAACAGTTCCACATGGGAAAAACAGGATCTTGAAAATACCCTATCTAACTTTAAAATCTTTGTATGGATTAAATTACCAACATCATGATCTAACAACTCGCAATCATATTGAAACTAAAGAAACAAGCTAGAAGAGTTGGTCTTGTGTAGATCCATAGAAAAATATCTTCGCTATTGATTCTCTAAAGTGGAATATATTATATGTTGAGAAAGTTTTTTCAAACACTTCTGGTTAAAATCTACAAAATAGTGAAAACCACAATTTCCTAGCTACTTTCGTTCTCGAGATAATCAAAAAATATTGAGATGCATTTTATTTTGACGCCGATAATAGTTTTCAAACATCCGAATATATGACTATAGCATTGTGGTGCCTGTCAATGTCTTCTTAGGTTTCTTATCGTGTGTAGAATATCGATTATGTTGACGAAGTCAACATAACAGAACACACAAAAAGATTGTCGCTGCAAGATTTTGTTCCTGTGTAAGCGACAAAAACTACTTGTAATTCATTTGTTGTTCTTTGCACGACTCGTATACCGTCGCTTTTTATGTCGTGTCTGACAATCGTATAGGTAAGTGGAAAAAGACTGATGAATTCACTGACTGTATTACACTATACCTACCCACGAAATTTATGTGATCAAAAAATGCGTTTGATAGAACTAGAAACAATTTTACGATTGTCGTGATAGGTATATAATAATATGAAGTTTCTATATAAATGAAATTTAGTTTGGTGTGCTTAAAGCTTCCATAACAAAAACGTCAACGATTTAACCATAAGGTTTTCATCGGTTATGTAAAAGCCACGTCATATTATTTCAAAGTCGAAGAACAGCATTCTTATCAATTCAACAATTTTAGATACGAAATTTCGCGTGTAGTGAAAAGTGCAAGTGCTTAATATTATGTCATCAGGTCCATTACCTCAACCGCGAGCTGTGTATGATCGGAATACAACATTATGGTCGAACATGGATGAATGTTTCTTTCGTAATTGTGAAATTCAGCCTATTCTTCAGACAGGACCACACTGTGTGTCGACAGTTCTTGCTATGCTAACCGGAAAGAAACCTATAGATTTTCAAGGCAAGATGAACACGCAAGACCCATGGTCATGGTCGCAAGTGCTACAACCATACGGAATGAAGTTGGCTTATTGTCCGGTGGATGTGCGCAAACTCAAATTCTACATGAATGAATTGATTGCAATAAATGATCTCTTTACACTAAGCTATTATACAACTCTTGATTCCAATGAGATTCTTGGCGATCCGGATAGTGGAGGCTGGGTAACTGGTTCGCATATTGTCATTTTACATCGAAATATGATCCTTGATCCTATTTTTGGAACAACGACACCAGCACTCGAACATCACTGCAACGAATATCATACAAAACGTATTTTTCGTGTTGTCCCCAGTGATCATGTTCGTGGACTTTAAGTATAGTTGAAACTATTTCTTTGACTAATCTTTTTATTACTTGTGCATCGCAAAGAAATACAGTAGAAAATGCTCTCAGAAATTTTTTTTCTACAAGTATAAGCATTCACAATCCCTAGGAATCTGTTTCCGAGTTCGAAACTATTTTTATTTCTTGTCTCTGAAAGCTGATATCAGTGTGCAACTGCGTTTCAACATGTGTCTTTTAATTCGTCCCGTCGAATTCTACTGAACTGTATGTCACGCGTTTAGTTTATATCGATCATTATGTGATAGTTGGGAAATCTTTTTCCCGCTCTCCTCTAACATATACTAACAAAATCACGCAGACAAAACATTGGGATTCGAAATTCTATTGCCGACCCCTTTTTTCAAACAGTACCAATATATTTCAAATCACCCATAAGCAATCTGCTAATCCCGTATGTTGTTCAAAACTCACTCTTTTAGCAATTCTTTCTTTTCCATAAAATCAGATAAAAAAAAAGGTTTTGATATATATCAAAGTTATTTTTGTTGACCAATCGTTGGATCATCAAGAAAATGATCCAAAATTCAGTTTTCTTGATATTACACATCAAGTAGAAAGTTTTACTTACTGTTTTGACTCTGAATAGCATGTAAGAAACGCAAAGTAATCAAAATATGTGATTGTATATTATCTTTTTATAATATATTTCATATTTCAGTTCGAGGCAATTGTTTTGAAGTTTGCTCGTATAAATAACAAAAGCATTTTGGAAGATATTTGTGGGACAACTTGTATCGACATGATATACCATATAATAGAACGTTTAAGACAAAAGAAAGATCATCTAAATATTTGGACACAACTGACATTTTTTGCTGGTTTATAACTCACATAGATAAACAACATTGTCGAACTATATTATTAATACCTGTAAATTATTATATTAATGTTAATAGATTTATTTTTGCTATATTCATCTAATAAGAGAACAAAATTGCACAGTTTTGCAAACTTCTGGACTTAGTATATATGAATATTTATGATAAAATTCGATTGTATCTAATTGAACGTAATTCAGCATAAGTAGAGACAGTCGTTTATATGAAAGACGTTATAACATATGACAAATAGTTACCTCAATTCTAGATATTATTCCGATAGACTACCTATTTCTGGTAATTTTTAACGAGCAAATACAAAAACACAAAAGTATCAGCATTGTGAATAGCTTGAAATTAACGCAATGTATAACAACAAACGATGGTAAAAGAAAAAACTACAAAAAAGTAACGTGATTCCTATGAAGATCGAATTGATGACTTTCACTATATTAGAGTAGAATTCAATTAAATATTACGAGGTTCGAGTTATTGTTACAAAAAGAAAAGAACTAAAGTCAAACAATTATTATAATAGTTGAATAAACCATCACAACACTCTAACTGGTTGTGTTAAGCAACCGCACTTGTTTCTATCTTTATATGAATTATCAATTTTTATACTAGACAAAGATTCATAAAGAATTATTTTTCTTACAACTAAACAAAATTTTCAATATCTTTATTCATATATTTATATATATACAAATCTCTTTTTTAAAACAAAAAAATGATTAATAAAATTAAGATGGTAAGGCTGTAAAAACACCATCTGACACAGAGTTATATACATAAAAAAATACAATAGGTTTTCATTTATATATATATATATATGACAATGTATCTCACAATTGACAATCCATAGTCACGTTTCCTTTAGAAGAATATATTTGACAGTTTCCAAAACATCAAGTTTAATTGTTGTTGGTAATTTCCATGGATTTTTGCCATCAAGTTTTTGTTTATTTGGTTCATAAACACCTGTACATACTAAAATTGGTTCACATGATGTTGCATTTAAAAATTTCGATCGGATAATAAACTATAACCATTAATACTTATTCTTAAATTCATCATTTGTTGTAATAAATAATTATACATATTTACACCAACAATATCAACATCTGGATTATCTTCAATAAAATAAACTTTTTCAATTTTTGATTGACCATTAGCTAGTGCTACTTGATTAGCTATTGCTTCAGCATATTTATATGAAATTTCAAATGGTTTACCAACAAATGATGTATATTTAAGATCATTTCCACTTATACTCTATATAGAAA